TGTTTGAGTGATGAAATCCATCCCATCCCTGAATAAACACTTCACTCAAACACAGAGGGGAAGATAATTTGACATGCAGTCTTATACCAAGAGACAAGTCGTTCCTTAACCACCTCCCAGGCATCATTCCCATTTGCATTGCACAGATTGCTTCATTCCCTGTGGATATTCAGTTCCTCACACCATGGGGATGCTGCCGACCTCAAAACAATCTTGAGTCAATTGAAAAGCTTCCCTAAACCTTTGGAAAAATAATTGCATTCTGCCCTTTAAAAATCCTCTCCTTGAGTGTAACAGTTATTGCATTTTATTCCAGAGGTAGTTGTGTTTTAATTGAGGTCAAAATGGTACAGAAAGGATCTTGCCGTCAGCCACTGCCATTTAGAAATTAATTGGTTAAATAAGTAAGATTACATCAACTCCTTGCTGCAGTGTAAGGTAATTTACACCTATTAAAAAGCAGGAATTGTCCAAGTTTTTCCAATGTATTGCACAGAAAGGAGGACACTTTAACCTTCTGCCTTCTATTGGGGGAGATTTCAGATTATTGTCTGTAAGCAGCAGAACAACCCTGGAACTGCAGTGGAACTGGAACTATAGATTTCCTAGGAATTACCAGCACCTCACCCCTGGTCAGCCAGAGAATGAGCTGGCACAGTGCTTGATTCCCATGGTCAGAAATTTTAAAATAAGTAAGTTATCTCACTGATCCAGCTGGAGGAGGAGAGAGATCAGCTGCAGGCTCTCCCCATGCTGAACAGGGGAACAGCTGGCTCCAGGATTCATCTCGGCATTCCCATGGAAGTCCAGAGCAGGCTGAAGAGCTGCAAAACAGGGGCCTGAGGGAAAACAAGGGCCACTTTTCCTCCTCTCAAACCACACAGGCCAAAGTGAAGGCCAGAGTGGTTCCACCCCAGTACAGAATCAGAGAATCATGGAATCGTTAAGGCTGGAAAAGACATTTAAGATCATCCAGTCCAACCGTCAACCAGCACCATGTTCACCACTAAATCATGTCCTCAACTGCCACATCCACACGTTTTTTGAACACTTCCAGGGATGGTGACTCCACACTGCCCTGGGCAGCTGTGCCAAAGCTTTACAACTCTTTTTGTAAAAAATTTTTTTCTAATACTAGACCTTCCCTGGTGCAACTTGAGGCTGTTTCCCCTCATCCTGTGCAAGGGGGTTGGCTGGTGGGCCCCTGCTCCCAAGGAACACCCAAGGAACACGTGACACCTCTACAAACAGCAGCGCTTTTCTGAGCAACAGTCCTGGAAGGGTTTAAGATGTTGATATTTGAGAAGCTAAGGGACAGTTTCCCTGTGCAGACTTCAGCACAGAATTGTTTGGGATTTAGCAGCAAAAGGCCCTTTGGCTCAAGGTCAGTAAAAATGAAAATCCCATTTCTAACCATTCCCTTTCTCCGACCTCACAGTTATTATGACACTGGCAGTCCCAAATGAACCAATGTGTTTCATCCCTGTCCAATACTGATTCCAGTCAGTGCCCCAAACAAGAGCTGTGCAGTGTCACCCTGTTCTGCTCCATGGGAGAAGGAGTTGCATAGCAGGAAGGCCAAATAAGCACACAGACTATTTGAGACAACACTTTAAACTGATTTGGCACTGATCAACCCAGCTGAGTCCAGAAGGGCCCAGTTACAAGATCCCCCTGAAACACTGGTGAGAACAGGGCACACCCAGAGTGGGGCAGCAGAACACCAGACCCTCCCACTCCCAGTCCTCTGGTAAACTGGGAGAATTTCAGGTCCCCAGAACACAAGTGTCTGGTGCTATTTAAGACATCCTGGGGCTCCAGGTGCCACCTGAGACAGGAGTGCACCTCAGCAGGGCCCATGTCATGTTGCCAACCTCACACAAGTATCTCAGACATAATCTGACACCTAAACACTGGCAGAGGTGACATCTCTCATCAGTCACTTCCCTACTGTGCTCCTCACCAATATCACAGCTCTGTGTGTGTTCACTTTTTGAAAGCTTGGCAGATCCTGAGCCTCCTGTCTGCACAAGTGATTGGCATGGGAGGTGTCCCCACACTCCACCATCAACAGAAAGCCTTTCACCTCACACACCAAAGCACATCTAGAAGTTAGAATCAGAGAATCTTGGAATCTCCCGAGCTGGAAAAGACCCACAAGGATCATCATGTCCAACCCCTGGCCCTGCACAGACACCCCAACAATCCCATTGCTTTGCTGGTGCCAAAAATGCCTTCCGTGCTTTTTAGTCTCAAAGTGATTTTGTCCTGCAGAATTTCCAGGGGAACATCAGCATTCCACAGCCCCTCCTGCCACTGGCCACAGGCTCTCTGCAGTCACTGGAGGGTCAACCCTGAACACCTCTGAGCAGAGTCTCAGACTGGTTGTTCTGTGCTTGCTTTGCCCAATTTTACCCTCTTTTTGCAGCTGATGAAGCCATGAACAACATGAAGTATGTGAAAATGGAAGCAGAAGGGCACACAGAAAGCAGACAGGAGCCTCATGCCCTGCCTCTTTTTCGCTGCCTATCTACCATCAATATCCTACACACCTTCCCCTCTGCTTGTGAAGACAGGCACTCCCGTGTGTTTCCAGCAGCCCAGAATCAGTCAGACAAGGGAACGAAGAGCTGGCACTGGGCACAGAGAGTCTCTTTCCTCCCTCTGCCCTCCAGGCATCTCCACTTAGAGAAGATGCTACAAGTGGCAGCTCTCCTGGCTCACAGGTTTGCAGCAGGCAGTGGGGATGAGGGCAGTTTCCCTATGGGATGAAGAGGTTTTGATGCCTCTCCTTCCCCTCCTGCCTCCTCTGCCATCCCTGCCTGGATGTCAGCTCAGGCACTGGGTGCTGGCAGGCAGAGGGGGCAAAACCAGTTTGCTACAGGGCTGGAAACAAGTTCTGTTGGCCCCACAATTAACTCCCGGGTTTCTGCTTTTTGTAAGAGCAGTCAGGATCACACCTTGGATTCATCCCACAGGAAAAATCTGTACTTGCAATGCTCAGGGTGAACAAAAAGAAATCCCAGCCCTGAAATGTCTCTGGCCTGCCATGGTGAGTGTGCCATGGCCAGCAGGGACAGACCTGCTTCCATCAGGGCTCCTGAGATCTGTGTAATTCACCTGATATCTCTATAATTCCTGATATTATAGAACCACGAGGGCTCCTGATGGGTCCTTTGTTATGGCTGCAGCACAGAATTAAACAAAAATGAGCTATAATCCCATCAATACCTCTTTGAATTTCAAATTAAAAAATGCATCCAAAAATTATCCATTAATTTTGAGAGTTTGTCATTGTGGAGTCTTTTGAGTGTTCTGGTTTCCATTCCCCCAGGTGACCAGAGGTCACACTGAGTCCCATCCTCTGCCTCCTGTCTTTAATAGTGCCTGGACAGGCAGAGCTTGGGAGATCCAAACTGTCTCTGAGCCTCAACTAAACACAAGGATGGGACACACAACACAAACAATGGCTTTCCTCAAGTACACAAGGAACTCAGGGAATTTTTTTGATCAAAACATGTCAAGTCACAGGTTAAGCTGTTGCCCAGAGAAGCTGTGGCTGCCCCATCCCTGGAAGTGTCCAAGGCCAGGTTGGATGGGGCTTGGAGCAACCTGGGCTAGTGGAAGGTGTCCCTGCCCCTGGCAGGGAGTGGAACTGGATGAGCTTTTAAGGTACCTCCCAACCCAAACCAGTCTGTGATCCTGATTCTATGAAACTCTGAGTGAATGTTGAGTCATTCCCCCCTGTAAAGCCCAATCTTTCAAAACCTATAAAGTCCCAGACAACCTTAGTTCTTGCACTGAAAAGCAAAACTTGCTCTGAGATCCCTCCTTTGTTCCCTCCTTTCCCTGCCAGCAGCAGCAGCAGCAGGAGCCTGCCCAGGTGAAGGTTTCAGTTCCCTCCAGATGCACAGGCACAGATTCCAATCACTTTCAAGTGATGCCAAAGCAGATCTCTGATAACTCGGAGTCAGGCTGATAACAGGCAAGTTCCAGCACTGCTCAGCTCATAATTACATAGCTGTGAAAAACAGATCAGTTGGCAACACACAGGAAACACAAAGATTGGAATCCTTTGGGAAAGCAAAGACAACCCTCTGCCCCAGTCCATCATGCTCTGTGCTCTCGAGGGAGGTGGCTTTACCAGGCACCACACATGCACTTCCCAGGGAGGATCCTGAGCCTCCCACCTGCGCAAGTGATTGGCATGGGAGGTGTCCCCACACTCCACCATCAACAGAAAGCCCGTCACCTCCCACACCAAAGCACATCCAGAAGTTAGAATCAGAGAATCATGGTATCTCCTGAGCTGAAGGAGACCCACAATGGTCATTGTGTCCAATGCCTGGCCCTGCACAGACACCCCAACAATCCCATCACTTTGCTGGTGTGTCCAAACAGTGCCAGAGACCTCAAATCCCTGAGATCATCAGTCACCAGGCTGGCTGTTACCACTGGGAGCCCCTGCTGACCCTTCAAATGGATCTTCAGAAATACCCAATGGCTGCAGAACTCAACTGAGAGGAGTTACAGAACAGAAGCAAACACCACGAGGCTGCAATTCCACAGGGATACCATGGACACATAAATAACCACTAATGGTCACTAATGGAAAGTAAAAGAATGTACTCGATACATTCAGATCATAGAATCGCAGAACCATTGAGTTGGAAGGGACCCACAAGGGTCTTCGAGTCCCACTCCTGGCCCTGCACTGGCCACTCCAACAATCCCTCCATGTGCCTGAGTGTTGTCCAAACATTCTAGTTTGGCTCCAGCCAAAAGAGAGCATTTTCAAAGACATAACAGGAATTAAAATATAAATGTTCTCCTTTGCCCTTCCCTGCACGTACAGTTTTGCTGTATGCTTTCAAAGTGATGAGAAAGGGCAGAACTGTAATAGCAGGAGTACAGTATCCACAACTGGATACTCTGAACAGTTTAAAACAATCCCCAAGCAAATAACCCTGAGAAAACAGGAGAGGGAAATCCATACTCACCTGAACGTGATCTGCCCAGTTCTCCTCAGTCATGGTTTTCTGAAAAGACAAAATTACTCCTGAGACATCTTAGAAAAGGGAGGATGTTCCACACAGCAAACTAGAAAGGAACACCACATGGTGCCCACTGTCGAGGAACGCGCTCGGGAGCACACGGGACAGCTCAGCTGTCAGGGCACAGCAGAACAACACAGCTTGGACCAAGTAACTCAGAGAACTGCTACATGACAGCATGTAAGATATAAAAATTCATGTGCAATATGTCCTCAGACTGTTCACCTCTCCAGCCAGCCCATGGAGAGCCATCCCATGGGCTCCAGGAAAAGGAGACATCTCAGGGATCCTCTGCAAGGCTGAGCATTCAGAATATTAAAATACAAACTTTTCTCAACAGCCAAGTCATGAAAAATCCTCTGGAATCATGAGGTCTGGGAAAGGAAACTGATAAGTTAATATTCTCATTCTAATGTAGTTCAGAGCCAAACTTGGGGAGAAACTTGGGATTGGATCTACTCTCCACTCAAGAGCAGAGGCTGCATGAGACTGACCATGAGCCTCAGCCTTGGTGCTGGCAGAGGAACAGGGATTGCTAGTGCCACTTTTATGGAAAGGTACAAGAGCAAACATGGAGTAAGAGCGTCAAAGAAAACAGCTCTGAGATATATAAGCATGTAATTTAAATACTAGTGAGATAAAGGGGCCATTTAGCCAGAGCTCAGACACAGCTGAGAATGGTAAACAGAGAGCACCAAAGAGCTCTCAGAAGAAGGGACTGCGTCCAGAAACAGCTGCCAAATGTACCTTAATGGAAGTAACTGGCCAGCTTGAATATTTTAAATCAAGCAAATGCTCCAAAACAAAGGAAATGGAAGGCCAGAGAGAGCAGAACCCCAGATCACGAATCCATTCCACTCTGCTAAATAAACACACCTGGATAAATGCTCTCTGCTCGCTCGCAGGGGCTGACCAAGCTTGTTCCAGTGATGTCACCCGCACTAAAGATCTGAGATGCAGGAGGCTGGAATGCCCAGTCCTCCCCAGCTCTCCTGGCAGTGGGGCTGGCAGGCAGCTAAGACAGCTCAGAGCCTTCACTGATGGCTCGGGAGGTCTTGGGAGCAGAACCTGCTGTGCCAGAACGGTGTCATCAGATCAGCACCATTCAACCCCATCCTCATGTTCAAAGTAGTGGGGCTGGGGGGTCAGAAGATATGCCTGGATCTGCCTGTTGTTGTCAGAGCAAAAAGGAATCCTCCTCTGAACACAGAACAGGCACTTCAGGGGAGGTGGCTCATTCCCTGAACTCTGGCTCTCTGGAGACTGGATCACTAGTCCTGTAGGAACATCTGAGAAACCTGCTGGGCTCAGACTCTGCTAAAAACTTCCTGTATCTACAAGGAGAAAATCTTTTATGAACTGCAGATGAAAACCTGCTCCAAGCTTGGCAAATACAGCTTGAGAATTCAAAATTCAAGAAATGGAAACATTTCACTGTGCTATTCAGTCTCTTGTGGTCCTTGTCCTTCACAGTTCAATGGATACACCTGGATACAAGTGTGAGCTGCTTTTTACAGAAGAGGCAGAAAAAAATAAATCTGACTCTCAACTGGTATGATCTGTCCCCAGGCACAGGGTCATGCTGAAAGCCAGACCATCAGGAGAAGCACCAAACCCACCCTGTTAAGGAGATAAATGTGTTCCCAGTACAGGAGCTCAGGAGCATCCAAAGGGCAGTGACTTGGCTCAGTGCACTCATGAGTGGGGAGGAGAAACCACACTCAAGTCATTCTGCAGACAGTCAATCTCCAAGCTGCCTCCTAGAAAACTGCTTCTCAGAAAGAATTAGTGGCATTTTCTTATTCCTTCAAACCCTCAGTGCCAGCACAAGTACCAGTGGATTTGGAAAGAGAATTTGGAGGCTGGACAGAAGTAAAGTTTGTTCAAAGAGTGGTTCAGGAGCTGAAAATAGGACCATTTTGTTCCACAGGAACAAGGCTGGCAGCACAAAAACGCTCCTGTGGCAGGTTTGGGCCATATCTATCCCAGCCAGGCCACAAGCACCAAAGCAAAGTGCCTACGGAGCACCCAGACACGAGGAATGTCTAGAACCTAGTGTTCTTAAAACCCCACACAAATGCCCCAAAAACTCTTTATCCAGTATGTTCCTGCTTATTTGAGATGGCTGAAGGAAGCTGAACGCTGGAGAGCCGACTCTGACCCAGAGCACTGAGGGAGCTGAGGGGAAGAAGCTCCAGCCCTGAGCAATCAGGACACCCCGGCACTGGATGCACAAACTGTTCACTCACAGAACAACTGATCCAATGGCAGATCCAAGGCATCTTCATATCATAATACACCAAAAACTTGCTCATACACTATTGATACATTTCAATTATCTCAGTGGTGTTATTCAAAATGCAAATGGAATGAAAATCCTCATTCACCCCCACACACAACACAGCACATACCTCAACAAATCTCTTGTAAAAGAGGTAGTTCAGGGTTCTCAAGTGCCGCTGATTTACGACATTAGGGCAGAGGGCTGAAAGAAGGAAAAAGACATTTAAGTACCCAACATAGCTGAATTTCCTGGAAGTTTTACTGTCTAGACATGACACTTTTCCTTCCCCAATGTCAGACTGGGGTTGGGGAAGGCAGGATGCCCTCACACTTGGAACAGTGAGGGACAGAGTAGAACATTGTCAGCTTATCTCAACTATAAACTGTTATTTACACTTTCAGCTGTGATTAGCAATGCTAATCCTCGGGTCTGATATCTCTGGTTCCACCACCCCTGAGTGATAAGATCCACCCTGTGGTTCAATATGCTCCACAGTCAATGACTTCACACCTTTAATTAGGCAGCATCCCCACACGGGCACCACCTCAGTCTCTAGAGGCTGCATTCTTCTGGGTTTAATTGGAACCTGTGTTGTTAAGTCATTGAAGCAGTTGTGAACAACTTACTCAGGATGTAAACTTGTGGCTAAAGCTTATCCGATAAAACACAGATCCATGGAAGAGACTCCACATCCACACAAAGAGGGTGGGGACTATTGTTTTGCTGAGCTAGCAAGCCACACTTGTTGATAATATTTTTATTGCTGTCATCTTCATTAGATATGGCTCATTACAACTGCAAAACCTGAGATCTTCACACAGTGCCTTGTTTTGAAACCCAGTGCAAGGAGAGATAAAGGCAGGAGATAAAATACATGAAGTGGATTAGCATAGGTATCTATGTTCCTGCTGGATGCTGGGATGCATGAACAGGGAAAGGCTTAACCAAAGCCTTCTGTGGGGCTTCAGTGGCTAAAACCATCCCACTGGGAGTCAGAAAGAGCAGGACCAGCAATCAGAAACGGTCACAGAGAGCAGGAAAGTGAACATTTTCTGCAGTTTCCTTTGAATCAGAGTCCACAGGGAGAAACCAATTCCTTATCCCTCTCCGTGCCTCACACAGGGCATGCCCAAGGATTATAAACCAGGAGAACAAAGAAAGATCTCTGGATACCAGACCCTGGGATCAGAGGGGGATGGGTTGATGTCCCACTAGATACAGCAGCTCCTCAGAGTCCCTTGAAGCATCACTTCAGAACGTAAACATTCCCATCTCAATTATAAAAGGTTAAAGCTGTTGTTTTTATCTTCCACGGTGTGACAACAGATCCTTACTCTCCAAGGATCTGAGTAAATTATTACAATTATCACACAGGATATTGTCCCAATAAATACGGTGATCTTTCCTCTGGATATTATCCCAATATCTGGAGGAAAAATCACCAGCTCATGGAAAGCAACACTCTCTAAAAAGAACATAAGATCAAGGTAAAAATTAATAACATTCCCATCTAAGTCAGAGATTTCAAAGCACTTCAGAAAGAACCATGGCATGACTGCTCCAGGCCACCCAAAAGATCCACTGAACATTTTTTTCTTTGAGCATTTAGAGGAAATATCCAAAGCAGAAGCTCTGGCAGAACTGGGGGTTTCAATGGCCAGCTGTCTGTGTGGAAAGGACAGAGGAACATAGATGCACTGGAAATATGCTGGAAGGCACTAGTAACATATTTTATTCTGATGGAGCAAGTGAATTGAGTTTGAATCTGTTTTATTATACTTTATTACAAAAAACAGAGAAGGACTAATCAAGAATACAAGTACAGGCTGGATAGAGAAGGGATCAAGAAAAACCCTGGGGAGAAGGATTTGGGGGTGTGGGTGGATGAGAAGCTCAACCTGCCCTGACCACATGTGTTGGCAGCCCAGAAACCCCCCCATGCCCTGGGCTGATCCCACAGCGTGGGCAGCAGGGGAGGGGGGATTCTGCCCCTCTGCCCCACTCAGGTGAAACCCCCCTGCAGAGCTGCTCCAGCCCTGGGGCACCAACATAAGAAGGATGTGGAGCTGCTCTGGAGTCCAGAGGAGGCCACAGAGATGCTCCAAGGGCTGGAGCCCCTCTGCTCTGCCAGGCTGGGAGAGCTGGGAGGGTTCACCTGGAGAAGAGAAGGATCCAGGGAGAGCTGAGAGCCCCTTCCAGGGCCTAAAGGGGCTTCAGGAGAGCTGGAGAGGGACTGGGGACAGGACAAGGGTCAATGGCTTCCCACTGCCAGAGGGCAGGGATAGATGGGAAATTGGGAAGGAATTGTTGGCTGTGAGGGTGGTGAGGCCCTGGCACAGGTTGCCCAGAGAAGCTGTGGCTGCCCCATCCATGGAAGTGTTCAAGGCCAGGAGCAACCTGTTCTAGTGGGAGGTGTCCCTGCCTATGGCAGGGGGTGGAACTGGATGGTCTTTAAGGTCCCTTCCAACCCAAACCAGTCTGAGATTCTACAGAAAATATGAAGGAGAATGGTAACTTGGTAAGAGAGACAATGAAATGAAGAGATCAAAGCTCTTAAGAAAAGGAAGAACAACAAAATAAAAACAACAAAATGGACTTCAGTAAACTCAGAAAACTGGATTCCATGCAGAAATCATTCATGAGGGAAAAAGGAGTTAAGAAGAGCTGACAAAGGAAAAATTGGAAGTGAAGGGACTTAACTGCTAAAACAAAAGCCTTTATGGATCTCAGTCACAAGAAGGAGGTTAAAAGAACATGAAAAATGGATCACACATACAAGTCAACAGCAGAAACGCATAAAATCATGAAGCCCAAAGTAAAACATGTTTCTATCAAAAGCTATAAAGGCAAGAGAAATTCCATACGGCCTTTTGGAGGAAAAAAACAACCACAACCCAGCAAAATCTAATGCAAGGGAAGAACTGGCATAGGGTGTGTGGAGATGGCAAACCTCCCACCTTGGAGGTCTGTAACAGGCTGCACATTCCAAAGTAGATCAGAAGTATCAGAAGGAGCTCCTTTGGCCAAGGGGCACAGATGGCACAGGTGGCACTGCAGAGCCTTTGCCAGACCTTTCCCTGCACCTTCATGATCATCTGCACCTTGTACGTGCGGAAATCAAAGTGCTTCAGGACACAGCACCTTCCTCAAGGTCAAACATCCAGCTGGGGGAGCAGGAGTCTGAACCCAGGTCTCCTGCACCTCAACCAATGTCCTGTTGGTCAGAGCAAAAGACCTTGTCCTAAGCTTTCCAGAACAGGGACCATCCTCTTAGTCAGTGTCTGTCCAATGGGATCATGACTGGCTTGTGGAGCACTAGTGGAATATAAATGGTTTAATACCATGAAAGCAGCTCTTTGGACATGTTAACTCTTAACCTGGCAGTTGCACCACAACCATTCATCTGAGCTCTATTTCACACCTGGGCCTGACTCAGAGGCCAAAGTCCCAGCCTGCCCCCAGCCCTTGGCAGAGTTAATGGTCATTTTTACTCCAGAAGGAGTAAAAATGAAATCTGTTTGTCACACAGGGTCAAACCCACAGTCCACACTGATTTCAGTCGTGCAAGATGGGTAAGATGTGTCTACTGCAGCCATGGTGCAATATGTTTTTAGGTGTGGTGGGTGGGTACCACTCCCAGGAGATGCCAATGCCTCCTGAGCTGGGACGTGGACCCAATCAATCCTCTCTGTCCATAGCCCTGAGAGCTTCCATTCACAGAGACTCCTTCTCCCCGTCCTGGCAGAACAGCAGGTCCCACACACAGTGTGCTTGGTTTGGGGGCAAACTAAAGGAGCCTTTTGGATAAAATCAGGGTATCTGACACTCCAGAGGCTTTCCCTGATATTGCTCAGGATTGCTGGGCAAGCTGAGGAGCTTGCACTGGGCTCTCGCTGTGCTATGAGACTAAGCCCTAAATGCGAATTAGGGGAGGACAGGGCTGCAGCCAAGAAAACCTCTTTTTGTTGTAGCCTGAGAGATGCATTAGTGTCTCATTAAATGCTCAGTGGCACCACAGCTCAGGGCCCACGGCCCTCAGAAAGGGGGTGACATGGCAGAACCCCAGACTCCCCCTCAAATCCCTGAGCTACCTGCTGGCTGTGCTGCCTGGAGTGAGAACAGAGCACAGCACAAGGGTTTGATCTACACCTGAAGGAAAACATGCCCTGGTGTACCCTTAGACACCATGTGGACATGATGAATTCATGCTCAGAATAGCCAGGATGGGGCTAGCTTTTCCACAAAAAAGTTTGGAGCTCCTGGCCAGTATGTCAGGGCCTAAAGCAGGTCATATCCTACTGGCTGTTCTTCAGGCTGAGGGCCTTAAAAAAGACTGGGGATCATTCCATCCCCTCCTCCTTCAGCACCTTGGCTCTGCAGCCTTGGGAACGGAGCTCCTGCCTGCCAATGTCCCAGCCTGGAGGTTCTCCTCGGGCACAGGGTGTGCAGAGTTGTGCTGGTATTGAACACCTGAGATAAAACACTCCAGAGCAGCACATGGAAGTCAGGGGAAAAAAGAGAGGGAGGGGAAAGGAAGGGACAGGAGGGGAACAGAGGGGAGGAGAGAAATAAACATTCTGCTCTGTTTTAGTGAGGGAAAGGTAAAACTAGCTGAAATTTCATCCTTCCTAAGGCATTCCTGTGGAATTACATGAGTCATTCCCTTCTCTTTAACTCAGCATCTTCTGAAAGTGCCCCCCTGGTGACTGCCCTGCCACGGGCGTGCAGGTCCCCAAGCCTGAGGAGGTGTGGGCCAGCTGTGCCTCGCCTGGGCACATGTGGGGCTGTGCCCTCCCAGCCGTGCCTCACCTGGGCACATGTGGGGCTGTGC